TCCTTTTCCTTATTCAGAGTGTAATTTTATATGGTTTTAATAAGATAACAGTTTTTGATAAAATGTCGTCACCAGGTTGCCAGGTGACCATACCACGTTTAAAGCTTATACAGCATTCTGATACGAAACCGGCTGTAAATATTTACATTTTTCATAGAATGAATTTCTTTGAAATCATTACTATTATTTATTTCAGGTTCAAACGTCTTTTGTATACTGCCATTGACATCACATGACTGTTATAAAACAAAAATGTGAAGAAACTATTAAAGTCTGGTTGAAAGAAACACAGAGCTCGATCCAGTCAAATGCAAATGTTTCTTCCTCTACACAATACAAACAAGCGGAAGTTTGTCTTAAGATATTAGCACAAGTGGCCGCTATAAGTCATGAAGATCTGATCAACAACGCAGTTGAGGTTATCTCCTTGTGTCGGTCTAAATCATTTACTGGGGTACATTTTACAACAAGTTACGAAAAAAAACGATGATAATCCTTTAACACACAGAGAAAGCTGTGCACAAATCTTTTGCAACCTACCAGATGAAATGAAGATTAAAGTTCAATCTGCAAGATTAAACCGCTGTGATGCATAATAATTGAATAGACCGTTGGCCAGTGAAGTGATCACCCGCTCTTCCCTTCTTTAGGGAATTTTGTAGAGTCACTATGATTTTCTTAAAATATATGGTCCGAGGAGTATTTTAATGTTTAAGACATCTGGCCAAAGGGACTTAAAGGAGATATGATGAAAAACGTTAATCTAGAGGCTCATAGGGAAGACTGGGCATGCCTAACTATGTTGCCTCTTTAAATAAAGTCTTTATTATTATTATTATTACCCCACTTTTTTATTTTCAGTCATAAATATATTCTCAGTCTTTATTGCATATAGCCAATCATATTTATACAAACTACATTTTTTTTTAGCTCTATAAGAATTAGATATCTAAATGTCTTATTAAAATCTTTTTCAATTGGCTGCTTATTGTATATGCTACAAATGATTTTTATATTACACCCCCACCATCATTATACATGATGAATTTGAAAAAAACCTTACTAATTATTCACCTTGTTATAGAGACGTTATTCCTATTCTAAAAAGTACTCTGTAGCAAAACTGCACATGTTCACAAAAGAATATATAAGATATGTGATGAAACTAAGAGAGAAATACTTAATAAAGTACAGTAATGCAACTAATGGCGGCTAATAGAACAAAAGTAGAACTACTATGATACTAGTACCTAGATATTTCCACAGTTCCTCACAATACGCAGTGAGGCGTATTACTTTTAACAGAGTATTTTTTACATAACGTAGTTTAACATTCATATTGAAGATCCTCTCCGTTTTCCAATTCTTATTTTCACAACAGCAGTGCTAAGGCAGCACACCACACTAAATGAAGCCACAGCTTCGGATGGCCAGGGAGGATTTCATGGATATAGTGACTATTGTGGATTTAAATGACTGGTTGTCTTTAAAATGCATTTTCAGCATGAAATTTGTGTTTGTGACATGTAATATGATCATTGGCAAATTCGAAAACATGGGTAGAAATCACATGCTGATAATTATTGATGTCAAGGTCGCCATTGTTTGTAAACATTGCTTTTAAACAGCATGCTCGGTGAAAACAAGTAATTTTACAGGGGGGTACAAACTTTCAGCAATAGCAAAAACTCTACAAGGCCAAGCACCTATTTCTTTGTGATATTTTGCATGCATAGGGAGTTGCTAAAGCAGTGACCGAGTTTCTGTAGACCGTATATTTGCAGGTATTTTTTGCTGGAGGGACGAAAAATGTTGTTTGGGGTCTCGGACCACTATAGATTTTTGGCTTTTACGGAATGAATTGGAATTTTTTTAACTGCCTGACTGTTGCACATGGGATGATTTCATTACAGACTTGCAATGTTATGACATATATGTTCTTAACAAAATGTGTTGTCTTTTTCCAGGTTGTGTAGTTTGGGATCAGATTTATCAGACATATTGCTTGTAGGACATTGACGGCAGAAACTTGAAATTTAGTGTGGAGTGCTACCTAAGTGCTGGTTAACAGCTGCTTACTTTATCTCAGTGTTGTAATTTCTTTCCTGTCCCCCGGGGTCATTTACTCATGTACGTAATTATGTTACCATTTAAATACTGTTTAGGTCGGTGCTAGGGGGCGTTAAAGGCGTAGCATCTTCCAGTATCTTTCATGAATTATAGACTCTATCAAACTTTGTATCCAAGTCTATCCGTTGCCCAAAGTCTACACAGATCACTTAACATTGACAAATATCCATTGTACAATTATGTAAAATTATAGCACTGGCACTTTCTGAAATGTTTCAGGAAGTCTCTGCAGAACTATGTGAAATTTTCTTTTTAAAAACTAGCAGTAATCTTTAAAATTTATCTTTTTGAAACGCGAACTTGATAACACTTATAAAAGCATTTTTTTTGTTTGTTAGATTCTTTTTAGTATTTTTCTTGCAGCGAGGAAAACTTTGCCTTTTTAGCAGTAAACAGAGAATAATACAGTACTTTATTTTTTTTGAACCCGAATTAACATTTAAATAATATACTTTTTACTTCAACATGCAAATCTTAAAATTTACTAAATTTATGTTGACATTTACATTAGAAAATAAAATGAAGTAATACCTCTTTCCCAGTTGCAACTTTTCGGACCTTTTCGTCAGTCTTCAGAAAAGGACCTCGAACACAAAAGTATACACATACAATACACATTCCGGATGCGGTATTTCGGTCTAACCAACGCTAACAAATTAAACATGTAAAGAGATAGATATTTAATGCTTGGAGCTGTTGACAAGTTTATTTCCAATATATCAGGTTATAAATTAAAGTCCATCTAAAATAAGTGAATTCACAAAAGCAAGCAATACATTATTTATATACTTATTATTGTGGTTGTAGAAACCGAAGGCACAACATACCAACCTGTTGACATCGAGTTGGATTTATCAGTAGGCATATATAAATTAAAAATGTTTGTCAGGCATATTTTATCATAATTGTACCGAAACAGACTTTATTTTCTATGGTATGTCGATTATATGCATTCGTTTACCTTTATCGGAGATTACACTCCCTGTTTCTGCATGTGGTAGAACTGCTTTTAATCCGTATTAACTCCGAGACTATCAATAGACGAGGATGATCCGATTGGCTAAATCACTAAAAATGTAATGAGATAGTTATTTAATGATTTAAGGGGGGATGGGAGGGGGGGGGGGGGCTTTTGACTAAGTTTATTCCAATATAGCAATATATTCACAATTGAAGTAAATTTATATAAAACATAAAAGTAAATCTTTCCTTTTTTGTAAACTTATTTTAATTATGATTTAAGGAACAGAAGTTACAAATTGTATACCGGTTGACTTAATTTGGACTTGGTCGTTATTGTACATCATTGTCCACTTTTAAATTGATTATTATTACGTTTTTTTCAATAATAATGTTGCTGTACTAGACTTTATTGTCTTTTAATGTCATACATTATCAAATATTGCAAACACTTGTTTTTGTTTCCATCTAAATCCATGTGGAAGAACTTCTTTGAATGAAAACCGAGATTATTATGAATAAAATTCGAGGAGTTCCGATTGCACAAACCTCTTCTTGTTTGTTGTATTTTCAGGGTGTAAACATAACAATCTAATATAAACATGTGTGTACCATTTTATTCAGTAACAATCTATATTAACACCGTCTATGGGCTATGTCTAAATACATAACTTTCCTAGCATGATGACATACAATTAACTAGGATATTACATTCCTCCCAACTTAGTCAGAAAATTTGATATACATTAAATCTAAAATGAATATCATATTTATGAAATTAAATGTATAGAATAAAAAGATGATAATCAAAACCTTTGAATGACTAGATCAAATCAATTACATGACTAGAATTTCAGTTCATAAATGTCTATGTAATCATAAATGTCTATGTAAACTATATATTTTTGTTGAACTATTACTTAAAAGTTTGTCTACATGTTCATTGTTTCTTTTAAATAAGTAACTGAAGCAATGTTCATGTTATATCAACACATAAATTACTAAAGTTCTGTTGTTGTTCAAAGTTAAAGAAACACATATTTTTAATTGTATAATACTTGAACACTTGGTTATAAATGACCTATACTTTTATAAGTCCTCATGAGGGATTATTATGCCCTTTTAACACCATGAGGAACAAACTTTATTTGACAAAATCTTTAAAATGACTAGGTTCTCTTCTTATTCTTGGTGATTTCTTTATTTCTTCACTGTTGTTATTTTGTATGCCCGTTTTGCTTTTTTTCTGTTGTTAACATAAAGCTTGCTCTGTCTCCTCTTCGAAATTTTGGTTGTTATTTAAAATTGGAAGAATTTCGGGTAATTTCTTGATTCTGGTTCTTCGCGGTAATCATATTTCCTTTTGTTTTTGTTATTTCATATGGCACGGGCATATTATTTTGATGTTGTTTTGGTAATGTTTTTCATTTTCAATTATAACTTTATCGCCAGTTGTAACTCTTCCTCTCTGATGTTGTGTTTTTGCTCAAAATTGGATTTCATTTTCGCTTTTGCTCTAGCGTCATTTTGGCGTATTTGCTCATCAATTTTAGTTTCAGGTTTCGATGTCCCTATATCTGGAAGTCGTGTTCGTGGTTCTCGTTGGAATAACAGGCGGAAAGGAGTGTATCCAGTCGATGTATGTGGAGTACTTCTGTATTGACGCAAAAATCTAAACATTTCCTTTCTCCAGTTTTTTGCTTCAAGGTACCTTGTTTTCACAGATTTCATAAGTGGTTTATTGAAACTTTCAGCTTGTGAGTTGGCCCTTGGCCATCTTGGTGTAATTTTTCTGTGATTGAATCCGCAGTACCTTACAAATTTACGGAACGCATCAGAATTGAATGGACTTCCGTTGTTTGTTTTGATTGTCCTTGGAACACCCATTTTCAGATAAAACCTTTTGTCGATTACTGGAATAACTTTTTTGATGAGACCGATGGGACTATTTCAACGATTGGGTATCTTGAATATTCATCAGTTATGACCAATAAATATTCCCCTGATGGTAGAGGACCACAGAAATCTGCACTTAGATCTTGCCATGGTCCCACTGGTAGTTCTGACATATTTAGTGGTGAGTATTTCTTTTCATAAGTGTTTGCTTGACAAGCTAAGCAGTTTTTTATTTTTTCTTCAATAAATTCATTCAATCTGGGAAACCAGATTTTTGACCTCACAAATGCTTTTGTTTTCGACATGCCTTGATGTCCTTCATGACCTATCTCTATTGCCTTAGCGTATAATGATGTGGGTAATACAATCTTACCGCTTTTCAGTAGAACATTTTCAGAGTGTACAGTTAATTCATCACGCACATTTCGTAACTGAGTTAAATCTTCAATACTGATGTCACAATCTTTTATTTGTTTCAGCTCATGCCACTTGCCGTTTCGTACATATTCTATGGCTTTTAACAAAGTTTTATCACCTGCTGTTTCTTGTTTAATTTCATCCAGTGGCATTGCACTGTCAGTGGAAGTTTCGGCAAGGAAGTTTACATACTGTTCAGCAACATTATTCATGTTGTTCATTCATTATTGGATGACGAGACATATAATCTGACGGGTTGTCTTTTCCTGGTTGATATTTAATTACCATATTGAAAGGTTGTAGCCTTTAAAACCCCCATCTCTCAATTCGAAGTGGTGGCTGTTTCTTTTCCATATTGGTTTCAAGAGGCTTGTTGATCTGTAATGACAGTGAATTTTGGTGCTGCCTCGTAGATACATGCTGAAATGTTCACATGCGTACACAACACCTAAAGCCTCTCGTTTCGGTTTTTGGCTGTATCTGGATTCTGTGTCTGACAAAGCTCTACTAGCATATGCGACAATGCCATTTTTCTTGTGTAAATATAGCTGACACACCACATGGGCTCGCATCTGTGTAAATTTCTGTTGCTTTTGATGGGTTATAATATCTCATGACAGTATCGCTAGACAGTTCATGTTGCAGTGCTTGGAAAGCAGCTTGTTCAGTTTCTGCCCATTGCCAGTCTGTGTTTTTTCTCGTAAGTTTTCTCAAGGGATCGGTTATTGTTGCATAGTTTTTGATGAAACGAGAACAGTAGCTTGTCATTCCTAGAAAGCTTTTCAACTCCGTTACTGTTTTTGGTGGTAGCATTTCTTTAATTTCTTTCACTTTGACAGGGTCAGCTGAAATTCCATCTTTGCCAAATACTACACCAAAGAAAGTAATTTCTGTTTTATTAAACTCGCATTTGGATTTGTTTAATGTGAGTCCCTTTCCATGAAGTCTACAGAAGACTTTGTCCAATACTTTGTCGTGTTCATGTTGAGATTTTGCAAAGCATATTATATCATCAGATATGTTTTTTGTCCCTTCGATATCCTGAATAACAGATTTAATTGTCTCTTGAAATATTTCGGAAGCAGACGAGATACCAAATTCAATCTCTTTTGTATCTGTATATACCCATATGTGTGTTTGAAAGTTGTGACATGTATCAGTGATTCTTTATCAAGTTCTAATTGATGGTAGCCTGAACGTAAGTCTAATTTGCTAAATACTTTTGCACCATTTAGGTCTGTTATCAGTTCATCAATTTGTCGGTAGCAAATGTCTCTCCCTTTCAATGGCTTTATTTGCTTCAACGCAATTGTCAACACATATTCTGATTTCCTCAGGATTCTTCTTTCGGGGGTGTTACAATTGGTGAGATATCCACGGAGCCGCCGTTCATTCTCTACCTTTTCAATTATATCCTCATCCAATAATTTTGTTATTTCTTTTTCTACTTTATTAACGCAGATGAAATGGTGTTTCTTCGGTGTCTTTGAGCAACTGGTTTTTACATTTTCATTGAATATTGTAGTTTAACTGTCTTGTCTTGAAGTTTTTCCTATCCCTTTGAAAAGATTTGGATATTTGTCTTGCTTCACATCTTCTAGTTTGTTTTCTTGTATTTGATTGACTATTTCGATAATATTTTAAATTGCATGCTGTTTTGATAGCTGATAAGGCTTTCATGTCTGCCCTGTACAATGTAGAATGTCTCGACGCTGATGATTTTTTGTTTTTTCAATTGTTTAGTTTGCATTTTCCGATTATTTTTCAAAGGTGATTGGCTGCCGTATGGTAATAATTTAGGCAAATTTCTGTTTGACAGTTTAGGTTTACCAATTATGCTGTAGGTATTTTTCATCAAGAATATTCACCGAAGCGCCACTGTCTACCAATACATTCACCTGCACGTCGTATGATATTTACATTTGATTTTGGTGTTTTCGACACGTTGGACTTTAAAGCATAGCAATAATCATCATCTGATGAACAAGAATCAGTTTTCTTTTCAATTTGTCTAACTTCTGGGTCCTTTTGCTTTTTTTCGGCACACTGTCATGAAGTGATTTGGCTTTTTACAAAAGTTGCAGGTTTTGCCACGTGCTGGACATTGTCCATTGTGAGGGTATCTTCCTCCACAATTTCTGCATTTTTGTAGTTTCTGTATTTCTTGGGCGAAACTGTTGACCACCTCTTGTAGGTCTTCTTGCGCATCTTCGTCCACGATATGGTACGTCTTGATGTGTTTTGACCTTATTTATGTCTGCCGGTTTAGGAGATTCCATAGCAGCAGCTTGTTCATCTGAAATTTCCAATGAGCGTCCTAGTGAAATGATGTCGGTCAGTGTTTTGCAATTATCACGGAGAGCTCTTCGACGTAGTCTACTTGTATTTGCAGTTTTGAATTATTTTGTTGCAATATTTTCTTCTTCAGTGTCAGCAAATTCACAGTTTTTAGCCAGCATCTGCAATTCTGTGACATATTCATCTAGAGATTGACTTTCACTTTGAAGCCCTGAATTTATAGATTTCCATTTGTTTTTTACTTTTTGGGGCGAAATATCGGTGATAACTTTTTTAGTTTCGTCATAATTTGTACCAGTGTCCCCTTTTTTCAGCGTCATATATGTCATAAACTCTTTCACCAGCATAGTGCAGTAACAAAGCTCGCTTTTCTGCCGTCATTTGTAATGTTTAGCCCCACGAGCAAATTTTCCAGTCCCCCACCACTTGTTCCATCTGTGGGCAGCGCTAGATTTATCGGCTTCTATGTCGAATGACGGGAACGGAGGTATACCAGCCATGGTGTGTTTATGCTTCAACCTTTATTATTTATTTTTAATCTATTCTTCTCTTTTCATCTCGTCGCCAATGTTGTATTTTCAGGGTGTAAACATAACAATCTAATATAAACATGTGTGTACCATTTTATTCAGTAACAATCTATATTAACACCGTCTATGGGCTATGTCTAAATACATAACTTTCCTAGCATGATGACATACAATTAACTAGGATATTACATTGTTATAACCTTATCTGTTTATTTACTGTCGTCAAGGTAAAACCAAAACACCGTATTCGATCTTGGTATTCGTTTTCCTAATCCGAAGTTTGACGTACAAGACGAAAACTCGTGAATCGGTTTAATTGCAATTGTGATATCTCAACATTTTCACAAAACTTTCCAATAAGAGAAACAATTAAATTGTCAACAAATGCTTTGAAGGAAAGCTTAAATCTTACCATGATAAATATCTTAAATGAACATACAATCATATTATGTATATTTCTTTTGTTGTCGCATATCATTAATGTTTATTCTTAAAGCTTTTATTTCCCTATATTCATAAAAAAGAGTGGGCTTATCTTTTTTGTATGTTTTTTTCTCTTTACTGACAAACTTGACCTTACTTATATTCTTCTTATACACACCATATTCTTATCTTCTTATACACACCATATCTCTAGCCGACCTTATTTTGACGTATTAGATATGCCTATAACCTTTATTTTTTGCTGAACTGTAAGTTCGCTATAATGTTATCTTCTTGCTTCGTTATCAAGTTATATAAAATCAATATTGCGTTGATAAGTTGTTCAAGTTTCGGTTTCAATTTTCTGAAAATATGTTCTCTCTGTTTTTAGAAAATGTGGTTTTAAAAATATGTACACATTTCTCGGTATTGTTATAGTACAATCACTTTTGATATTTGAATATCTAATAATTAAGTTTCAATGATGGATTTATCTGAACGTTTATCGAATCTTATGTCTGAGAAAATTATGCCTTTCGTTAAAAGTGGCGAGTGTTCAGATGAAGTTTCTTTGTGTTTTGATGATGGGAGGAAACTTTACGTTTCACGAAACTTCCTCTGTTATGCTTCTCCTGTCTTTAAGACTATGTTTCAAATGAAAGAACCAGACGAAATAGAAGTTATCATGTCAGGAGCAGTGTATGGTGACTTTCTAGAGCTGCTTTCGTGTCTTCATCCTGGTGTGCAGAAGCAAATTGATTGTGAGTTTGTGTTTACTTTGTTGTGATAAGAAACATTTTAACAAATTGTATATTTTTGCTGTTACCTTGTAGGTAATATTGAAATTGATTAAGAGTTAAAAAAGATTACTTAATTGTACAACATTAAATCATTCTACTTGTGTTTCGTATACGAACACCAAAAGAAGGTTACATGGAGTAAATGGAAAGGTCAAGCAAATTGGATGCATAGTTGATGACGTACATTTCTTTTTCATTTTTCAATCATTCATTGTTAAATTATTGTTTTTGTCTAAAACCATATTAGTAAATAAATGAAAGAAATGTTTTATACAAATAGAGTTAAAAGATAACAAAATAAGAAGCGTAGTGTTCGAAAATGTTGGCTGTCCTTTATAACTTTAATTACCTCCCTTTATCATTTGTTTTAATCAACGCCCGTTTTGATTTTCAGACTGTTGTCCGGAGCATTGCTTTGATTCTCGGAATATGATTATTACTATATTATAGTGCTATCTTGAGTTATTTTATCATTCATCCTTCCTCAATTTCATAACTTCCCTTTGAAAACTTTTAATAGAATAAACAAAGTGTTTTTATTTTACACCATTTTAGGTACCAACGTTTTGCGTATTGTGTCTCTTGCAAAGGAGTATCAAATACAAAGCTTCGAGAAAAGATGCCAAAAAGCTATGATAAAATGGTTGTCTTCAGAGGTTGATTCTGCTTGTTCCAAAGATGGTGATATAAAGAAAGTACAGAATGCCAAAACATGTCTCAATGTATTGATCAAGGCAATAGCTCTGGACTATGAAGACGTTGTCACCCATGCTATAGAAGTTTTAGCAAGATTTGGCTTTGACGTATTTACTGGTGTTATGACAACACCTGCATTCAAATTCGGAGAATCTAATTTTTTAAAGGCGCCGCCCGTCTCTTTGGCTTTCGGTAAAAAGGATGAAAAACCAGAAATCAAATATACAAATGACAAAAGCTTCAATATCTTTACTCCGGCTCCAAATAATTCGGAGACAGAAGATTCAATGAACGCCTGCAAAGAATTGTATGAAAGTTTATCAGAAGAGATAAAAATTAGACTACTTCTGCAACGACTAAAATTATGTGATGACTGTTTCATGCGCAAAGTGCTTAGAGATGGTAAAAGTATCGTAGTCAACCAGTCAATAAAATAATATACAATTTATCACCTGAAATTAATATATTTTAATATGACTTAATCTTATCTATGCTTCCAAGCATACAATTTTTGTCCCGACTCCATTGCAGTGTGCCCTGTACTATCTTTTTTTAACAACATAGTTCATGTAGTAAGTAATCAAATTGGAAATATGAATACAATGACTTTTATAACACAAAGAAGTATCACCGTTTAAACGGTAGTGTTTCAGTGATAACGTTTACAAACGACGAGTGCCCTAAGTTGAGTAGATCTATAAATATTTTTTTTTGTTTGATTCTTATTAAAATAGTTAAATGATATAATGCTAAAGATATGAATGTTTTAAGTCACTTTTCTCAATGGCCTAGGGATAATTCTAGCGGGACCAGACCAACCAAAAAATTAACATTGTTTTCAAATCTATCAACAACAACTCTTTCACTATTATTTCGCAGGAAAATAAACTTTGTGTCAAGAAATGTATGTTTAATTTTCATAATGATATTTAATTGCTTATAAAATGCCTGAAACAATTTTGTTTTTAAATTGCCTGGAACAACGTGAATTTGAAATTATCGTATAATAGTTTGTATTAATTAAACAAACTAATAATAATTCTAGTAACACTTACTTCAAGCTTTTTTGTTACTTAATATCATATATCATAATAGTTCTAAAATAAAGCAAACATTAAATTCGTGTTATTTTTACCTAATAAAATATTTATTAAAGAACACCAGCGTATGATTTTGATGTGCGCTAAAATGAAATAAAAAAAAAACATGTCTAAATCATTTACCTTGTTACCAACACATAACTTGAGGAGGACATGAAAAAGAACGCACACACACATTAAATATATGCATGCCGATTTACTTAAGATAATAATGCCAGATAGCGCGGTAACCATTTTTGCTTAAATTTCTACTTTTCAACTTCAGCCTTCTTCTGTAATGAACAAAGTCTGCATTTTAGCTCACCTGAGCTCACTATTCAAATTATTGCCTTTAGATCAAAATTAGCCCCGCTCCAGGGGGGAGGGGGCTTTGATTTTCCTAATATGTATATAATAAATTCAAAAGAATCTTCTCCTATGTGACTTTCTGTAGCAACAAATGGCTTTCCATAGCAATTATTGACTTTCCTTAGCAACCATTGTCTTCCATAACAACCAGTGACTTTCCATAGAAGCCATGGAATTCCATAGCAACCAGTGACATTCTACATCAACTGATGACTTTTCATAGCAGATATTGACATGCATAGCAACCGGTGATTTCATATAGACCTCCATAACAACCTTTAGCCATATCAACTAGTGCCTTTAATAGCAACCATTGACTCGCACAGCAACCAGTGACTTCTTATAGCAACCATAGACTTCCATTACAACACTGACTTTTCATAGAAACCATATACTTCCATAATAGCTAGTTACTGTCTTTAGCAGCTAGTTACTTTCCATGGCAACAATTGCTTTCCATAGCAACCAGTGACTTTCCATAGCAAACATTAACTTTCAATTGCAACGATTGAATCTTTCAATTTCATAGCATCCACGGACTTCCAAGGAATCTATAGATTGTGTATAGCAACCAGTGACTTCTTTTGAAACTATTGTATTCCTTGAACAAAAGCAGTGAGTAATCTTTTCCACATGGGCAGTTTTTGAGATGCAGATATGAATTTAATGATAACATTTAGATTTTATATCTGCTTTTATAGGCAGGTGAACGATATCAAGACCATCATGGCCCTCTTGTTCATCTAATTTTGTCGTTTTCATTGCAGCCGATGGATAACTTTCATAATTTCATTATGGACAGGATATAAAAACTGAACTGTCATTTTCATTTTGCCTGAAAGTTATGCTGGCTTAACAGTACGGTGTATGAGTGATGATTGACGGGAGCGTGTGTTATATATTTTTCTTTTTAAATAAATAAATGCACAACAATGAACTTTTTAATCACGTGAGAGAGAAATATATCACCAGGTATAAAATAAGACTCAACCACTCATTCCTTATTGACAGACCAGATTGAGTACAGAGATAAGATAATGTTTATCAGTTGGGTAAACAGTTGGTAGTTTCAGTTTATATTTTGAGAAATGTCTAATTCAGTACTGACCTAGTTTTTAAAATGCACCGTGCATATATTTTCATAAAAATGATAATGTGTGATAGAGGTCAGGTACATTCGACAAATCTTGCTGTTAGATTTACCGAAAATTATAAAATTTGACCTTTTCGGGTTTTAATAAAACTACGTGTAAAATGTGTATTTAAATTATAGCAAACATAGGTAGTTTTAGTTTAAATTCGTAGAAGAAAAATCTCGCTGTTAAACTTTGGGAAAACAATTAAAATAAAAGATTTAGAACTACATGTATTCTAGTTTTAATAATGCTAAGTGTTAACAAATGTGTATTGAAACAGACATTAGGTAGCTTAAATCTTGCTGTGAAATTTCCGAAAAAAAACCTCCAAACTATTCGATTTTTCAAAGTGCTATGTACATGTATACATTTTCATAAAATGTGTATTTATAACAGACATTGTGTAGTTTCGATTTAGATTGTTAGGCAAAGCTCGCTGTGTTTTTATCCGAGAACTATATAATATTTACATAGCTGCGGAAAGGAACAAAATATAATGGATCAGTTTGAAAGTTGTGAGGCTGTTTCATTGACGAAACCTTTTGAGGTTAGTGGGGAATGTTCGGATGAAATTGTTTTCACTTTTGATGACGGTAAGAAACTATATGTATCGAAAAACTTCTTGTGCTATACGTCACCAGTATTTAAAGAGATGTTTAAAGAGAAATATGGAGGGACAGAAACCAAAGTCATTGAAATGAACGGAAACTCGAGTGATTTTCTAGAGCTACTGTTGACGTTACATCCTGGTGTACAGAAACCTATTGATAGTAAGTTTTTATTGCATGGCGATACATAAACATTGTTTTTACTGTATTTTATATACTGTAGATATTGTTGCACTGAAAAGATACCGTGTACAAGTGTGCGACGTCGTTAATCACGTGAATCAGCTTTTGTTGTTAACATAGAAACATTTCTATGAAAAGAAATAAATGCACTACTAGAAATTTTTAGTTGCAAACTATGTAGGTTAGTGAACATTCAGTATTTTATATACTTGATCCATTTTCGAAAATCAAATCACCAACATTCTTATAAAAACAAAACAAATAATTATGTGCAGTTTGTTATTTCACATTTCAGATATAATAATTAAGATATTGTTCGACTGTCATCGCTAGTAAAAATATATTCACAAACAAATTGGTATAATATACTATATATATATATATATATATATATATATATATATATATATATATATATATATATATATATATATATATATATGTATATTATATCTTCTTATTTTATCATTTAGGCAAAAAAGTTTTGTGCGTCGTCACTCTTGTGGAAAAATACCAAATTCAACCTTCAATAAGGAGATGCCAAAATGTGATGAAAAGATGGTTGACATCGGAAGTTGATTCTGCTGTTAAAGTCCAAAATAACGAAAATAGAGTGACGCATGTCAGGACATGTCTGACCGTACTGATTAAAGCGATATCTCTTGGCTACGACGACGTTGTTGCACACGCTGTTGACGTTTTAGCAAGATTCGGGCATGACATGTTTACTGGGTCAGGGAAAAAATCTTCATTCGAACTTGGTGGATCCTTTAATTTTGGTACTCCTGTCCCTACTATTAATCCTGACCCTGCTATTAAAATTGATATCGAGGAGAAAGTATCCAAGGGATCACTTGGTGACGACGAGTCAATAAATTCTACTGCTACGAAATCGGAGCCAGAATGCCCATTAAACGCCTGCAAAGAACTTTTTGAAAGTTTACCAGCAAATATGAAAACTCGACTTCTTCTACAGCGACTGAAATTATGTGATAACTGTCTAATGCGCAAAACAACTTTATAGAAATTTGCATTCTGTAACGTGAGTCTCCAAAATTATGCAAACGCTTTGTCTACTTTGTCAATTCCAGCGCATGTGGTAAAGAAAATGTAAATGATACATACTTAGTTGTGTTATTACAAGAGTTGTACCTACAAAAGAAGGGAGCATTGCTTTCGTCAATCATGTATAACAGAAAAATTCTTTATTATTTAATTATTGAGATATTTTGAATAATTTATAATACATTTTTTTCGATTCAAAATAGGATCGTCAACAGTATGTTCCTTTCAAATTTCAAAATTGTTCAAATCAAGACATTGGTTAACAATAAAGGCTGAATAAGCAAACATTTAAATTCTATTTTAGCTTTTGTGACTTTTATCTTAATGACTCTGGACTATCCAGATAATTATACATTACATCAGTCAATTAATAAAGGCTGTAACAACAAATGACTGTGTAAAGATCTATTTTAGCGTCATTGACCTTCGCCCCACAGACCTTGAACAAAACCCAAAGGAAGACGGTCACCTAAATTATGCTCCTTTCAAATATGAACGACAACTGTAGATGCATGAGAAAATGTGTATAAATCAATCTAAAGCACTATTGACCTTCATAGTCATCCAAGATCGTGCCATATATATTGATAAGTTAGTAAGTGTGTAAATTATGAAACCATTAGTACAGGTAAAATTAAAGATATATTTATCAAACTTGCCTGTTGAGGTTAACATCGTACAGACTGACGGACGGCTTAATATCTATAAACAAGGGAGAATAAAAACTTGAGAAAAAGTAGCGAAAATCTCTTCGGTTGTATAGATTATACATGTACTTGATTATATTGCTCGTTTCTATTGGTAACCGTGAACGTATTGTTTTTCATTTTTTTTTATTTATGAATAATTTCTTTTCTTTTTTCTCTTTTAAAAGAAATTTATTGTTATCTCGTTATAAAAATTAAGGACAGGTTATATAACCATATATAAACTGTTCTTTGACATATAACCCTCACCTAGGGGCTCGTATATGCTACAAAAAACGTTAAATAAGGCGAAATCTTTTGAGCTAATATAATAAACGTGGGCAAGATAGTTAATTTGTCCTTCATCTATAAAGGAAGAATATTTTACGATACATGTACATTTTAAATGCTTGTGCATTATTAAAACGTCTACGTTAAGATAAACACGAACTATTTTCCGAAAATCTTTATCTTTATACAAGGTCATGTAAAAGACGCTAATGTGCGGGTTTAAATATAATTGTTAAATTTTCTGAAACAAAATACGCTTAAAGATTTGTTAAGCTTACGATTGTAAAAATAAATAACATTTATATGTGAACTATGGATATGTTTGGAAGTTTAAATTTTGTTTTTGGGAAAAGACCATTTGAAGATAGTGGGGAATGTTCGGATGAAATTGTTTTTACTTTTGATAACGGTAAGAAACTATATGTATCACAAAACTTCTTGTGCTATGCGTCACCGGTATTTAAAGAGAGGTTTCAAAAGAGATATGGAGATACAGAAAACAAAGACATTGAAATGAAAGAAAACTCGAGTGATTTTCTAGAGCTACTGTTGTCGTTACATCCGGGAGTACAGAAACCTATTGATAGTAAGTATTAATTAACTTTAAAACGATCCGATTTCAAAATAACCTAGATATTACTTTAACTAACGGTAGCATGCGTGCTCGTGTTCGTATTTTTTTCACTAAAGTTTTAAATAATTTCATGTAAGATCTTTATTCCAAAATATTTTTAAACCCATTTTTAAGATAATCGGTGTACTTAATGTATTTTCAGAGAGTAACGTTTTGGGCGTAGTATCTGTTGCGGAAGAATACAAAATTGAATCAGTAATCAACAGATGTAAAGACGTGATGAATGAATGGCTGACTTCAGAGGTTCGTACCGCTGGTACTGAAACCATAAGTAATGTGGATAAGGCAAATCATGCTAAAACTTGTCTAACTATAATGATAAAGGCAATATCTCTTGGCTACAAGGAAGTAGTTTCACGTGCAATTGAGGTTCTCGCTGAATTTGGACATGATGTGTATACTGGTTCTCTGATAAAACCTGCAGTGCAAAAACCTTTGAACACATTTGGAACATCTAAAGCTAATAAAAAACTATCTTCCAAAAAACCCGCAGCTGTAAACGTTGGCATTCCTAAGACACAAGTTGATTATTCATTCTTTACCTTTACTCCAAAGAATTTAATATCAGAGGGACCTGTTAACGAATGCAAGAGAATGTTCGACAGTCTCTCGGAACAGATGAAAGCTCGACTTCATTTGCAAAGACTCAAGTTATGTGATGACGGCAACATGATATGAGAATGCATATCAAAAGAATTAAGCAAGTTTATCATATTTGTTCAACCGTTTTTATTAATATAAAAAAATTATATGTATAATGTCTAATTATTAACTGACTAATTTAAAGATATACTTTGCTCAAATTTTATATTTTTAAGTATTGATAATTGCTACACAGTCTCTTTACATGTTTTGACGACACACAAAGTAGATATCTTGTGTTTTAAACCCTACACACTATAGGTGGACACAATCAGAAAATATAGTGTCATTAAAAAAACTGGCAGTTCTTTTAGAGAGGACCAACTAAACATATTTAGAAAGAATAACATAGATTTCAATCAATTTCTGTGATAAAAACATTTAACACTTACATGAGCATAGTATATCTTTAAAAGTTAATGAATTATTAATTAGTTCATTCATCACAGAGGTCACTCAGCACAGATGATAAAAATTCAGCACAGAAGATAATCAGCATAGATATTAATTCAGCATAGATTTATTATTCTGCACGTTTGTAACGTTGCTTTTCATTGGATAATCGTGATGGTTATATTATGTATATACGCTACTTCAGTCAATTTATAAATTCATTTTCGCTTTTCCCGAAATTAAATGATACTGATGTATTGTAAAATAACAATTCGTTACAAAGACAAAGCCTAGTGGCTTTGGTAACGTCAATCTAAAACCGTGTTTAATGATCCATATAACCTGTGGCTAGTGTTACATCGGCCTACAACCGTTAATAATGATACATATAAAAAAATTGACCCGTGATAAGTTAATTTACAGCCGTTAATAATGATGCCTCTAACCTGTGATTCGGGGAAAATCAACCTACAAGCGTTTAATTGAACCATATAACTTGTGGCTCGAGTTACATAACCTACAACTGTTTTTAATGATCCATATAACCTGTGGTTTGGGTTTAATCAGCTACAACCTTTTTTAATCCATAGAAGTAATGGATTGTGTTACAGCAACCTACAACCGTAAATAAAAAGTCATTAAATCGAACAAGGAACTTTCAAGTTCGTTGTAAATATGTTTCGGCATAAAAGTTATAGCATGTTAAGTCTCATTTCATTTTAAAGACACTTAATACCTATGTTACTATATATAGTAACAAAATATAAGGTGTTCCAGGCCATTATGGCAAGATCTAGGTCATTGTGCAATTTTGGCCGCCTTGCTACTCGGCATTATTTTTCAATAATTGGCGAGTGAATAAGCGCACGTGCAGAATGACGTTATCAACTCTCAGTGACTTTCAAGATGAATAAACTGTAGTCACTTGCACACAATTTTTTTAAAGTTTAAATGACATAATTAATCACAATCAGCAAAGCTTATCATTGAAAATTTATAAACTCAAGACAAAACATGATCCTCAGAAATTCCAAAAATGATTTTAGAATTTTTGTCTGTACGAAAGGTCGGATTAGTCGCATTTAGACCTTGACAGTCTCAGAAACCGTTCCTAAAGGCACACAACTTCATGAAAAAGACTGGCACTAGATCTAAATGTAATTCTCACAAAAAATGTGAAGAGAAGAATTCTGTATTTATCGATAAAAAACAACAATAAAACACCATTTTTCTCAGACATGTATTTATTGTGTGTTGTCCTGTTTTCTATGATAATTGGAATGTTAATGACAGATATTTGTTTACACTGACAACTGTCCGTTTCTTAGAAGGGGCGACAACCAAGATTAGCGGCGATGTCTAAACGCCGTATTTCGGCCCTCAGGCTATTTTGCACATCTTCGGGCCATTAATGCATAATAAAGTATTAACCTCTAAATATTGTCTCAGAAACGAATAAATATTTCCTTCTTTAGAAATTAAAATAACAAACACGACTTCTACAACGTTATAATAATAATTTAAGAACATACTACAACCTTATTATCATGTGAACTAATTTCTTATAAAAGTCGTAAAAGGAAAATATAGAAGAATGTTGATTCCATATAAAATGCTAAATCATTGTTAGTCTTCTAATTGCCAAAAGCAGCACATGAGCAAAAATGGTTCAGGTAATTGACCAATGAGTATTTTCTTTTCTTTTGGAACTATAACAGGACACCAAAAATTCAAAATTATAAAAATGTTCAGAAATAAAAGCATTTGTAGGGCATAATGGGCATTTAAGGTAAATAATGTCACACATTTATTCGCAAGTGTATTTAAGCATTGTTAGTTACAATTCTTGCATAACTTTATAGACAAGCAAGCAGATGGTGAATAACTAAACAATGACATATAAAGAGCAATTACTGTAGTAAATCTTAACAATCTTACCAAGGAACATTCAAACTGTAAACAAAAAACGAAAAAAGTATTTTAAACTATCTATGTCGATAGTACTGCAGAAAAAGTTCATTTGATATAATGATTTGAATAGACAAGACGTATTTTAGATTTATGTTACTATTGTTTAATCTTAAACCATTAGAATTAAAATAATAGCAATACATTAAGTGTAAGCTTAAAAATAATTGTCTAGAAAGAGATTGTTACACCTAGATTGTCTAACTTCTAAGATAGTAGTGACTGAATAAATCAAAATATGAACATTAAGGTAGTCTTACTGCAATGTTTTCCCTCCAAAAGAATTCCGATATCGGCCAATATTGTAAACAAGAGCAACAAGATGGCCCTAGATCGCTCACCTGACCCATTGATCTCATCTGAGCAATTACCTAGACAAGCATCCTGACCAAGTTTCATGACAGTTGAGTCACAAATGTGACCTCTAGAGTAAAACAAGGGTTTTCCATATTTGAGCAGTGTGACCTTGTTTTTAACCCCAGGTGTCCCATATTCGAAATCAAAACAAACTGTCAGACCAATTTCCAGAATTTTTTCATTAAAATAGTTGTCACTAGAGTGCGGACAAGATTTTTCTATTTTATCTTGTGTGACCTAGTTTTTCATTCGAGATGACCCATGTTCAAACTCATCCGACCAATTATCTAGACATGCATGCTGACAAAGTCTGATGACAATTGAGTTAAAAATGTGGCAACTAGAGTGTTTACAATGTTTTCCATATTTGGGCGGTGTGACATAGATTTTGACCCCAGATAATCCATATTCGATCTTTACCTAGAAATCACCAAAACAAACTTTCAGAACAATGTCCAGCATATTTGGATCAAAACAATAGCCACTAGAGTATTAACAAGAATTTTCTATTTTTTAGCTGTTGTGATCTAGATTTAAATCCGAAATAACCAATGTTTGAATACATCTAAGCAATTACCTAGACAAGCATCCTGACCAAGTTAGATGATGATTGAGTCAAACATGTGAGTACCAGAATGTTCACAATGTTTTTCCATATTTGGGCGGTGTGACCTAGTTTTGATCCCAGGTGACCATATTTGTACTTGATCTAGAAGTCATCAAAACAAACTTTCATACAAATTACAAGGATATTTTGATCACAACAGTAGCCACTAGAGTGTAAACAAGATTTATTTCTAATTAAGATCCTGTGACCTAATTTTTCATCCGAAATGGCCAATGTTCGAGGTCATCCGAGCAATTACCTAGACATTCATACTGACAAAGTTTGATGACGATTGAGTAAAAAATGTGACTACTAGAGTGTTAACAAGGTTTTTCCATATTTGGGCGGTGTGACCGAGTTGTTGATCCATATTCGAACTCGACCTTAAATCATCAAAACAAACTTTCAGAAAAAATTTAGCATATTTGGATCAAAACAGAAACCACTAAAGTGTTAACAATATTATTCTATTTTTAGCTCCTGTGACCTAGTTTTAAATCCGAAATAAACAATGTTTGAAAAATGTAAGCACTTACCTAGACACGCATCCTGACAAAGTTTGATGATGATTGAGGCAAAAATGTGACCACTAGACTATTAACAAACAGGTATGGACGGACGACAGACGACGGACGACGTCTGACAGATGACAGACATTCAACGATCCTACAAGCTGAGTTGAGCTAAATATTGATCATTTCCAGAACGTCATTTTCACAATCTTGATGGCCAAACATCCCTGGTATTTTTAGTGCATTTAAAAATATTTTGCAAAGAAATGCAATATCAAGTGTTATATGTCATTAGTATGTGTTTTAAACAAACAAAACAATCTTTGAAGAGTTATACATGTACTTATATTTTGCATAAGAAATCGGCCGATGTTAGAATCATTTTGGCGGGAAAGCATTACAGTAAGACTACCTTAATTATTCATTTCGACTGAATGGAAACTGCTCTAAACAAACGTAGACTGTTGTTCAATGCAGGAAGAGGACACTGCTTGTCCACAATATAATGAAACTACTTAAAAGTAGGAAACATGAATTAAAAAATCTTATTTTATTTGACTGGAACAATCAACACTCAAAGTAAAATTACTGTTAATCACTTTCTCTTACCACCATGCATTTCTAAATTATCACACAATTCCAATCTTTTATGTATCAATTTATATTTTAACTCAATGGATAAATTGTCAAATAACTTTTTACAATCATTTACAGCATTAGCTAGATTATCAACAGGATTTTTAGATTGTGAGAAAGAAAATCCCATATAATTTTGATATTGTACAGTTCCGGTAAATATACCATGTCCAAAGTGTGCAATAACTGTACATGCTTCATTAACAAGTGTCTCGTATTGTAGACTGTTCGCTTCAGACATCACTCTCAGACAGGTTTTTGCGCTTTTAACTCTATTCTCAAGCGATGTTGTTTGATGAGCCAAGGCTAATTCCGACTTGAGCCAATCAGACATGAAGCTCTGGCAACGTGTTATCATTAATCCAGCCTGGTATTCCTCTGCTATGTGCACAAGTATAAGAACATTGTCTTCTGCAAAAAGAACGAAAAAGTCATATGTTAATAGATAAAAATGACAGGATAATTATGAGAATCATCAACATTATATAGTAATATTTTTTAAAGGTATACACTGTTCTTACAATCTGTGTAATAAATACTTTTCTGTAACTAAAGAATGCGTATAAGCACTTAGACATCTGTTTAATATCAAAGATAATGTTGCTTAAAAGTGTAGCATTTTGAATGATTTAGCAGATGTCTACAGCCTTTGCTATGAAGCTTACTTATAAACTAAAATTTTTTCATATCGATATCCCCGATACTAAACATCTGGAAGATCCATTCTATGGGATAAGGGTTTATTAAACAATATTCTAATCAGCTTGATTCAAATTAAGTGCGGTACGAATCATTTAAGATATTAAACTTAACAATAACAATGGAGAGAAACAACACGGAACACGGGTCCTCAATACCCTGAAACAACGGTACCCGGAAAGACACTAAACGGGCTAAATTCGCCCCTTTCAAAATGTCAATATACATTTTAGATGGCAGAATGAATCAATATCCTTCAAGTTTCTACTTAAGTGCTTTCTTATAAAAAAAACAACAGAAATTGCATTGAACCATTTTTTATACATACATAAAATAATGTCTAAGTGCCCATCCATGTTTTCAAATTTATAATATGTGTCACCTGACTCATCAATAACTTCCATGACCTGCGTAAGTATCTATAAAAATCCTTCGGAAATTATCCGAAACGTTCAGTTCGTAAAGTTATTTGGGCAGACTTTTTACCTTTTAGGCACTTCTAATATTTAATCCTAAATGAAAGTCACTATTAATGTTTTGCCAATGACCATTCTTATAGTCAATCGTTTGAAATATATAATAATTTTAACTCAACTTGACAATGAAAACAAATGATGTCTCTTTAAATCTCATACAGTCGATTCTCGTTATCTCGAAGTCATCGGGACCGTCCAAAAAATATCGAGATAACGAGATGTCGAGATAAACATATTAGGGTTTGAATAAGGCAGAAACTGATTTTTACAAAAGAAATGTGCATACCTTATGTCACATGAACTATGATATCCCCATGACTTGTGTTCATAGGCCTAGTCAATATTTAACAAAGTAACATTAGTGGATGTTTGCCAGCGAAAATACGGGTTTCTGTGATGAAAACAAATGGTGAGGTTTACTCAGTAATACATGTAATACACAAACATTGTTTTCAGGGTGGTTGATCCGGATATCCTCCCGGATTATTTATCGGTTCTTTCTCGATGTTGTTCGACCGCTGATTGATTTGGTGGTGATGTTGTGAAACAATATTGCAATGATAACGTTTCTATACTTTCACTATTTCATTTACATTTAAAGTCATAATGAATTGATACAGGTTTCGAATATTTATAAAGAACGTAAAATTCACTCATTTTGGAAATAAGTCAATCAACACCCTAAATAGATTAAATTTTATAAAAACAGCTAAACATGTTACAAACATAATCATCATTATGACACGCGCTATTGAGAAATTATCGTCTAGTTTGTGTTTTTCACACGTTCTGAAGGGAACAGACGAAAGAAAACTATTACTCGAGATAAACAAAGGATAATAGTGTGAAAATAAATGTTGGGGCTGAAATTGTACATCGAGATACTGAAAATATCGAAATAAAAATATCGAGATAAACAAATATTTCCAATATAGATAAAGAAGGAAGAAAATCGGGACTTTCAAAATTTCATCGAGATAACGAAATATCGAGAAAAGCGATGTCGAGATAACGATAGTTGACTGTATTGAATTTTCATTTATATTTATAATTCCAATTTTTGTAATTGCTTAAAATAATTTCTTAATAGTTTCTTTTGACATAACATAAAAGGTTACTTACTAGTAACAGACTTTTGCACGTTTGGATGTAAACAAAGTAAGAATTCTAAAACATCTTCGTACTTTTTCCCTGTCAAGGTCACACTTTTATTTTCCTTTTCCTTAAAATCATGCTCGAACATTGCTTTAAACACTGGGGACACATACTTCAGAAAGTTTTGTGAAACATGTAATCTTTTCTCGTCATCAAATACGAACTCTATTTCATCTGTGCACTCTCCAGATTCTGTAAACGGTGTCGTTTCGCATTTAATTTCACTGTCCTCCATTTTATCTAACACGTTGAATACTTCAAAATAAATGTTATGTTTTGACGAATCAGTAAAGTACACTCCCAATTTTCTGAAAACATGTTCAAATTGGGTCGAGATGACTTAACTGATATTTTTAGATTTCAGATATAACATTTGTAGCGTGTTCAAAAAGATAAAGCAATTTTCTGAATATGTACCATTATAACGAGTTTTGGTAAAAACTGAATTGTAAAACTTTTGAATTCTTTCTATTTAAGTACCGCTCTAATAAATTAAACATAGAATATAAAGTGTACGTAAATGTAGTAAGACTTCTTTTTATAAGTCAGTTTAAAAGCCTTTTAAAATATGGAGGCTATTCGTTGCCAAAAATCAGCCTCTTTTCGGTTTTACCAAACAGATTAAAAAAATCTAATTGTCGATCCGAGAGTTGAGTTACATACTGCACTTGGATTATCTCGATTTAACAAAATGAAAGCTTCATACTTCGGTTCTACCAAAGTATAGCAACAATTCTTGCTTTTACGATACATGCAACTTAGATAGATTGCAAACTGTATTTATAAATGTATAACAACTGTATTTAGAAAGTTATAAATTCAAATTTATGTTAACGATAGAATGAATGAACACAACCCTTTTTCATACCGTGCATCATGACATTGAGAATATAGATTACCTATATAGATGTTTTAGGTAAGTGTCATGGAACTTTGTGTGAAATCCTTGTCTACACCAGTTGACACTCTCAGGTTGACAACACTACACTCTAACGCGATTAACATTGGTAAACGATTTCGAAACTTTCATATATGGCATTATCACGGAAATAGAAGAAGATTAAAAGGCGGATTAAATTTTCACCTAAAGAGAGGCAACTCTTACTGTAAAGTAATAATTAGTACAAAATATTTCAGATAAATATCCAGTGTATCCTAGCATCTTTGTTTACATCCATTTGAAGATAGTTTGAGTGATACAATGTACGTGGCACAGTGGCTACATTTAATGTGTTTTTATTTTTGCCTCGTGAGCACGAGATACTATGTCGTGGCGACGAGATAATTAAGTTGTTTGCACGAGTTTAATATGATTTTTAAACTTAGAAAATCCCTGGTTAAAGTTTTACTTGCAACATTATTTTTGGAAATACTAAACATGTTCACATTAAACTTGAAACGTGTCTTATGGATCATATAGAAGGTCACTGTCCAAGGCCCATTTACCAGAAAAACTTACTTTTCGGCTGCATCCGCCATCTTGTTTGTTTGGGTAACGAACGGCGTGATTCTCCCCCCCCCCCCCGTGATATCGTTAGGAAAAATTGCAAAACTTTTAATTAATTAATTAATTAATTTAATTAATTAAATATTCAGGAATCATTAAATGTCACAATTTAATATAACGTAAAGACTTTCAAAATCTTGATGATTTCCCTTAACATCATATGTTTAATTTGCTGTTTAAAGTCGAACGTTACCTTTACCTGTCCTCTTGCCTTTACTGAAGAAAAGACTTGTTTGACTTCTACCATTCATGCATTCTCAATATCATTTACAAAATAGATAAAAACGCTTTCAACGCAGCATATTCGTCTTATTATGTGCTATATGTGCTTTATTTAAATAAAGCATCTGTGACATCAAACATGTTCCGTTTTAATTAAATCAAAACAAAAAAGTGGTCAAATGTCATGATTTGAAAAAATATTTATCGCACAATAGTAACAAATGAAACGTTCGTGACTGTCTCTGTAAGAAAAATAAACTTTAAACCCTTTCATGTTTCAATTGGTCTTTTATAAAACAATTGTTTGGTGTTTTTTATATCTCACAATGCCTTAGCGTGAATTTAACAGTGGAACATACTGAAAACTATGATAAAAATGTAAACAAAATTGTTGTTTCTTCCTGTCCACTGATACATGTGGACATTTGGAGTGTGTGTTTTTATACAGTGAAGAAAATATTTTTAAAAAGAAATCTTTTTAAGTTTGAAGTTTTCTGGCAAATAATTGGCCATATTGACCAAAATAATGTATTTTAAAAGTGGTGTTTAAAGATGCCGTAATTGATGGATCATTTTCTGAGAAAATGAAAACGTAATTTTTGCCGCGAAACGTACGTTACTGATGATACAGGAACTGATGAAAATGTAAAGAGGTAGACTTGTGTCAAGCAGTTAAAGCTTCCTTCAATTAGAAGTTTTGTGTTGAGAAATTGTTATATAATTGCTCAAGACTGTGTCCAGATCTTAATTGAAAAGTGGTCAGAAATGTACGTTACCGAAACGAACGTTATCGCAATTTAAAAAATATTCACTACACTTAAAATATGATACCTTAGGTAAGAAAACTTATATGAAGCGAAGATTTTTGTAACATGAAAGCCTAAATAAATATTGGATTGTGTCACTGTGGATATAATTTAAGGTAAATTCATGTTTGATATATGATATCACAGTATATATTAGAAAAACACTTTATGTATATAAACATATGTCTACTGAAAACATTCTGCTGGATTTTGAGATGTAATAGTATGTTTTTTCGCAATTGTAAACAAAAGGTAGTAGTGGAAAGTATACACTGAAAGACTTTTCTAACGCAACACTTGTGCTTTTAAGTGTATTTGGGTGATTGAAGAATGGTTATTGGTGAAATTAAGAGTATAGATAAATGAACACCTAACACATGTATTGTAAAAAATTTATTATAGTTAATGTATGAAAAAGTATTAAATTTGACAGAAATAAAACATGAGTAACAGAGAATTAATCTCAAAATTCAAAACACAACTGTTTTAACACAGCTCTTATCACAGAATAAGTTAAACATAATGTTAATCAGTTTATATCCAATATGTCCTCCCTGAGCTTGTATAACTTTCATACACCTCTGTCTCATTGACATTACATAATTCCTCAGAAATCTCTGTGGAATGTTCCTCCATTCCTGCACCAGGGCCTGTTCCAGTTCTGGTAGGTTCAGGGGTTGTACCGCTCGCTTGCAAAGACGTATAAGCAACTCATCCCACAGGGGTGTTCAATTACATTCAAATCACAAATTACATAAATAAAGCAGTATTAACTTGGCACTATTAGTATCACAACTTACCTGTCTCTCTGAATACCTATAGAACGTGCGGATCCGATAATCCGTCATAGATGATTGATTTCGTTGAAAATATTTGCAAAAAGTAGTCAAAGCGGTTCTAATAAAAAAAAAGTAAGACATCTTGAACTGTTTTTGTGAAATACGAATTAAACAAATGTTGCATTAGAAAAGTCTTTCAGTGTATATCTGCTTAAAAGTACCATGAAATGTACGTTACTGTTGGTAACGTACATTTCGAAACTAGCATCAGTAATTGCACTGAAGGGTTTCCCCCGAATTCTTAAAAGTTACTTGATGATATGTTTTTATTCATTCTGATATAATTCATTATCAATCTGATATCGAGAAAAGGACAAAAAAGTGTTTATAAGTACACATGAAAATCTCTTGTTTTGATAGGAATAAGCCTGGTGACATTTAGCTTTCCCTAAGGATGTAATGCATGCATGTGAAAAAAGCAGCTTCAAATAACATGTTCTTGTATTGAGAGAGACAAACACTTTGTACAACTGTGATTTATTTTTAAAAAGGTTATCTGTTTTAGAATGACGTATATTCTTAGAACCCCGGGTTCGTCTTGAGCCTTCATTCAAACGTTTTACCTTTACTAATAGTTTTTCTAATTAGCAACCATGTCATTAATTTTAGTGATTTAACATATAAAGGATATGTAGCTAATTATTGTCTTGCAAGCATATCGTCAAAGGCAGGAATTAAGGCTTTTATTATATATTCTTTCATTTGTTTCACATTTAGTAGCAACTGCAATGTTCCGCCTGCCATAAAAACTTTAAGAAGAAAGAAATTGCTGTGTAATATAATGTTGCTGGTATTCGCGGTCAATGATTCATCAACAAGCCTATCTATTTCCAGCAGAAGCTTCGCAGATGAGTCTCTATGAGAATGCATGGATGTTCTGCAGCGTTGCATGGAAACTCTCGATACAGTCTTGCCCATTATAAGCGAGTTATAGAATCAGAGATTTAACTTCACTTTGGCGCCCCGAACACAATTTAGGTCTACATAGTGCCGAAAAAGGAAAGATGATTATCGCTTAACTCAGGATTTACAAACTTAAAGAAACACCCGGAGTCAAAACAACCTCACCTGGTGGAGCTTAGAGGTGCAGATACTCCGGTAATTCGAACCCACTTAGTCGCCGCTTACCATCACGTAGGGAAAAAAGGTAGCTGCAATTATGATGCCTCAACTCTCTCCGATGTCACAAGTGAATAGCTATCTTTGTTCACCCTTGAACATATTTTCAGTACCAATTGAATTAAAGAAGTAGCCAAGTTCATTACTCAATTGTTTTTTTGATAGCCTTTGTTGACAATATTAATTAATAATTCGTTATCGGATTATCATTTCATTTCTAGTTAAAACAATAGACATGAGTTTAAGACAAGAAATTTTGGGAACCAAACGTATAACCCAAACTTTTCTAGCCCTTGACTTTTTATATTGGGGGTAATTTTGTTTGAAAGAACCTGCCTTTCCAATTCGGTTCCCCTTTGAAGGGGTTTCGGGTTTTTAAAAAAAAGGAAAACATTTTGACCTACTATTTTCAAAATACAAATGTGAAATATAAAGCCCTTGCCCCTTTAACAAATTGACCCCTTTATGACTTATCAATATGTAAATATGGAACTTTTGAAAAAAAATTTTTAAAGGGTTTTAATAAAGCGAAAAAAAATTTTAACTTTTTAAAAGGCCCTGTTTTACTTTAAACAAGGGCCCCCCAAAATCAATGGGGGATCATCTATACATATGGAAATAAATATCGTTAAAAATGGAGAAGAATTTGTAATAAAGTTTTCAAGATAATGACCGGAAAACATTCTGATATTTCAGGCACCTGTGACCTTAACCTTTGACTAAGTTACCCAAAAAATCAAAATAGGTCATCTTCTAGTTTTGACCAATTAGTATGTAAAAT